TTGGACAGCTCGGATGATCCAATTCCAGTGACGTTTCGGACCAGGAGTGGTATCTTAATCGAGGATTCATTGGAAAGTTCAATACCTACGCAAGGTGTTGATGTGGAAAAGGTACTTTTTTTGCAGAAAAGTCATAATTTTTTAAGGCATTTATCTTAGTATCTGTCGTCTTGCCTGTTACTCAGTTTCTAATTTTAGCTTTTTTTTTCAGTTCTGATCATTATTTTACGTAATTTTCTAATTTTTGTTTATTTTTTCAATGTTTTGAAGCACCAGACAGTTTTGTCATTTAGAATCAACATTTTTCTGCCCCATGCGCATACGACTCCGCAGATCTAAGTTGAGCTTTTACGTACACCAACATTTTACATAAAAACACCCGAAATGTTCGGCACCAAGTAATAACTCGAGAATCACAAAAGACAGGAAGCTGAAATTTTAAGACACCTTCTCCTATCCGTTTACGATCCGAAAATTTAGAATCAGCGCTCACATTGGCTACGTTAAACTTTTGCTGACAGCTCAGGAAGCACAAAGCTAAGAGGTTGAATTATTGATACAATGTTCTTTACTAACAAACTTTAAATTTTCCAGGGTATCGAATTGTTTTATTACCCAGAGGCAGTGTTCTGTGTTCGGCCAGTGACACGATGCACCTCATCACTTCCCGGGCATGGTGAGCCAGTAATCAGTGTGCGATTTAGTCCTAATGGAAGGTTCTTAAAATTTCTGCTGTTCAGTGTATTTTTTTTCAATCAAAAGACTAATAAGATTGTATAACAGGACATGAGGGAAAAAAGCAGTTAAAGGGGGAGGGGAGGGGTGAAGACGCACTGCTTATTTCGCAGATAGCTTGCGTAGCTGATAAACGATATTCACAGATAAATAATCGACAGTTTGAATTGCCTGGGAAAAGTAGCGCTCACATATCACATGGGTATTGGGTTCCCTGTTTTGAAGTGCATGTGAAAACATCCCAGCAACAAATTTATTTTTAGATATCCTTGGGAATCGCTACCGAGTCAGGGTGGAAGTAGGGAAGAATGGGGAGCTTGGTTGTATTGCTAAAGAGTTCAAAATATACATTCATGTTTTTCATAACAACTTTTGTTAGAGCTTTAGAGAGCTTGCAAGTGGTTCCGGCGACACTACAGTGCGTTTCTGGGATTTGAACACAGAAACACCTTTGCATACAATGAAAGGGCACACAAATTGGATATTATGCATCGCATGGTCGCCGGATGGAAGGAAACTTGCTTCGGCCTGTAAAAATGGGCATGTAAGTTTTGTTGGCCAGTAGCTGGGGACCGAAGAAATTCGCCACAGCTGCTTTTAACTTACTATTTTATTGCAAAGACGCTAAACATCAAAGCAAGTGTCGCTCCTGTTACAAGCAGGAATTTTAATTTTATGCAGCAAGAAAATATATTTTAGGAAAAACCGAAGAGAGAAATGCAAGATGCATTTTTGCGCTGTAGAGGGAACTGAGAGTGTTGTATGGGTCAAAAAATGGAAGTGGCTTTCAGTTTAAAAAAGGAATATAGGATTTAGGGGGTATAGAAAGAAGGTGGGGGAGGGGAAGAGCGGTAACGGGGTGTAGAAAGGGAAGGGGTAAAGTGCTGCAAATTTCTTTGCCAGTGGAGTTCAAGAACCTAGCAAAATAAATGGCCAACGCACGGGCTGCCCGTGCGAAGATGCGTTTTTTGCAGAGTTTTCCGCAGGTTTTTGTCGCTACCGGCATCGCTTTTTTCGGCACATGGTTCTAGCTGAAAGAATTTCAGACTGACCGCCAGAAATCTCAGCAAATATTCCCTCAAAATTCCAGTCTTCTAGCTTCTCAGGTGCTCGAGTAATTAACTTACCCGGAAGGAACTTTTCACGGACCTGTACGTAGGTGCCATGCTTACCCGCGGGCAGGGTTTGAACTCATTAATACCCACTTAGACAGGGAACACCCCCTAAGATTC